ATATAAAGTTCAAACTGTAATAACTCTTGAACCAGCAAGTTCACACAAATAAAATTACACTTGTCGGGTTCATTTTAACATGCTCTTTAAAGTAACAACGCCTTTATTATTATTTTTATTGTTTAGAGCATAGCGGGTGTCTCAATTTTCATGCAAAGTTGTCGTCTTTGATGTTTTTTTAATAAAAATAAAAAAAAAAGTAACTTTGAATTTTGTCTAAATTGTATTGTTCAATGGTGATCGACAAAAATGCATAGAAATTGGGACACCCGCTATGCTCTAAACAATAAAAATAAATGTTGGTACTTTAAAGAGCATGCTAAAATAAGCTTGATAAATGTAATTTTATTTGTGTGAACTTTCTGGTTCAAGAGTTATTGCAGTTTGAATTTTGTATGTTTTCATTATTATTTTACTATTACACTATCGTTGATCTATAAAAAAATTCAATTAATGATTTTCACTATATACCTGCACTATGTTTGTAAATAGGCTTGCATGATACACTGGGGTGTCCATCCAATGTACTATGTAGATCAAACATATGTATAGTCCCATAGGAACATCGAATATATAAAATTTTGTGTAACAATCGCGAAAATCTATAGTAAAATACCCGATTTTTTAACAAATTTATTAAAAAATTTTAGATTAATAAAAAAATCGCTCTATTAGTTTAAAATATAGATCTGTTTGAGTAATTGAGCAAAATTTCTAAACAAATTAATATGTAAGTTATGGAAGAGATACGATTTGAAGTCATATAGACATCTATATGACTTCAAATCGTATCTCTTCCATAACTTACATATTAATTTGTTTAGAAATTTTGCTCAATTACTCAAACAGATCTATATTTTAAACTAATAGAGCGATTTTTTTATTAATCTAAAATTTTTTAATAAATTTGTTAAAAAATCGGGTATTTTACTATAGATTTTCGCGATTGTTACACAAAATTTTATATATTCGATGTTCCTATGGGACTATACATATATTTGATTTACATAGTACATTGGACACCCTAATGATACACCCCCAGTCAGTGAAGTGACTGCCACCGTTATATACCACCGTTACACAATATATATGCTCATATTAATGTACTGTATATTTTAAAGTTTGTAGATTATGTACAGTTAAAGAATAATGATTTTAAAGTATTTGGGCTAACTCAAAACACATCCACAAATGAATATATGTTAGTATTTGACGAATTTGGTTCTAAAAGATTTGAGAATTATGGAAAATGTGCAAATTGCAACCGAAATAACACATCTGAAGCTTGGTGTCAAACATGTGACCCTCAGAAGACAACGCAAGGATGGACAAGTGGAAATATGAATATCGACGATTGCATTAAAGAATTTCAACTTAAAGCCACGGAATACGAAAATGTAATCGAATGGATTCCTTTTAATAGATTAGTTAATGTTCAAACAATTGGTAAAGGGGGATTTGGCTCGGTATTTTCCGCAACGTGGTTAGATGGTAAAAGGATAGTTTCAGGTACTAGGTATAACTATATACAATCACGTACACCGTCATGTGTAGTTGCACTTAAAACTTTACCTGGCTCACAAAAGAATTTCTTAAGAGAAGTATGCTAAGTTATTTATTTATGATCTAATATAGATTATAAATAAAACTATTAACATTATAAATTTTATTTTATTTATTAAGTTTAAGAATTACACGGAATTTAGATTAGTGGGTAATAATCTTGAAGTGTATGGGCTAACTCAAGACACGGCTAATAATGAATATTTGTTGGTATTTCAATATGCAAATAGAGGAAGTCTTCATCATTTCTTATCTTTAAATTTTAGAGATCTTAATTGGAAAAGTAAATTAAAGCAGCTTGTCGATATATCGGAAAATTTAATAAAAGTACACAAAGCTGAATATGTTCATGGGGATTTTCATAGTGGCAATATATTGCAAAATCAATATGTTAATGGTGATCTAATATCTTATATTGCTGATCTAGGATTATCTAGAAAAAAGGATGATTCTGATTTAGAAGATGGTATTTACGGCGTTTTACCTTATGTTGCGCCAGAAGTGTTAAATAAACTTCCATATACAACAACTGCCGACATTTACAGTTTTGGTATTATTATGGCTGAGATGTCCACGGGAAGACCTCCTCATTATGATATTGAGTACGATGATAAATTAGCTATTCAAATATGTAATGGATTACGCCCTGAATTTGCTAAAGGCACTCCTGAGTGCTATACTCAATTAGCAAATCAATGTATGGATGCCAATCCTCTTAATAGACCAACTGCATCTGATATCCATGATAAATTATCAGGATGGTATAATATATTATATTATAATGCTGCCGAAGATAATAATAAATTAGCAATATTAAAAGCATTCCAGTCTGCAGATGCAATTATCCCAACATTATCAACTGAATTGCCAATTTGTCCTAAAGATAAACTTACAAGTAAACTGCTTAACTTTAAAAACCTTTCTAAACAAATTAATTCTTCATTTATTGTATCAGCAAAATTATTAAAAATATGTGGTAAATAATTTACTCTTATTATCATATATATTTCAATTTTAATCGGTAAAACTTTATTTTTAATTTTTTAGATTCTACCGCTCTCGATTTTTTAATTTCTGATGACGATTGTAATAATATTTCACGTGTGTATTTAATATTTTAATTTAATATTTTATAAAATAATATTATTAATTTATCTATTTAAATACTGTTTTTATAGCCAATAGTGAAGTATTATAGACAATAAATAAATCTTATTTAATGATAGTTTATTTCTAAAAGATAAAAAATATAGCAAACCTTATAAATAAAATTAGAATTTAAATAGTTTTTCGATAGCATAAAATTCGAATTTTCTTATATATAATAGCTAATTTTAAAATATTTTGTTATTGTATTTATTAGTTATATATACAGTTAAATAAAATAAAATTAGGAATGTTCTATTTTCACCACCATGGTATTTTGTTATATTTACCATGGTTATACAAAAATTACTATTTTTAGTACTATATTTAGGGACCTGATATTTCCACACCCTTTTTTTTTATTTCCACACCCTACCCCTAAAAATTAATATAAATTATTAGGATTTGGTTAAGGTTTAGAGTTAGCAGGGGTGTGGCAATATCAAAAAAGGGTGTGAAAATATCAATTCCCTATATTTAATATAAAATAAAAAAATTAATTTTTTAAAATTAAAAATTTTTTATTAAGCTAGAGTTTGCTATGCTTCTAAATAAAGTTGTAAAGAAGATTTTTCTGATTCTAATGATAGTTAGAGCATCAAAATCAGCCTAGTGAATCCCAAAATATTTCAACCAATAAGATCATTGGAAAATAAGAAGAGCAGGCGAAAATAGACAATATCATGTGTAGTTGGTCTTTTTATTATTGGCTGCCCTAAACTTTATAAAATTGTACATGCTAAGACTAATTGCATAAACTGCTTAACTGAATAATGTATAAAAAATTTTCAATTTTATTAATAAAAATTTTATAAAACTAAACTTTATCTGCATAATTATTACACAAAATTTTATAATTTGATTGGTTAAATTATCAAATATATCAATTTTATTAATATTTTTATATAATTTAATTTTTTGTAAATGAATATCCTGTCTAAATGAATACAAATTGGTCCATCGACCATATTCATTTAGACAGGTTTGACTGTATATATTTATTGGTTAAAATTTCTAAAATAAAAAAAATTTGTACAAATTTTATTACGTATGTAACTTTTATTATTAAAAATTAACGTTACGTTAATTGCATATATTAGATCTACATAAAATTGAATTTAAGATAACAACAAAAAAAATTTGTTCTAACTTCCATTTCTTTTCGAGGAATATATTCATATTTTAGGTTCATTTGACCACCTATATCGGAGTCATCCGGGTCTTTCTATCAAATTTAGCGTCTTGAATATATCAAGTCATTATGCGCAAGTGAGTTGGTATAAATTACTGTATACGCATGTTTTTACGTATAATTCTAAATTACGATATATTAATATTTTTATAAAATCTTTATTTTAGCATTACAACGCTATTCGTATCACTAACGATAAATTCCGTTTTATCTGAACAGATATGTTATCTTTAATTTTGCCTATGAAATCGCTCCAAGAAAAAAGATTCCTTGAAAAATTTTTGTGTATACTGCCAATTATAACTTAATACTAACTTTCATAATAAATTTCTCTTTATTCAATTGTTTTTATTGGATGTAAGTCACGTTCACAAAGTTTTTTTTGGACACTAATCTATTAGGATGCTACGCATTAGTCATTGACATAGTTATCATTTGATTTGATTATTCAGTTATTCACTTTTGCGAATTTATACAAATGGAAAACACAGCGGCAATTCTTCGACAAAGGTCATTACTTTTTTGGTTAGACTTGAGCCAAAAAAAACCGAAGACGACAGCAAGG